TTTGGGGGGGGGACTGGGGATTGAACTCAGGACCTTGCACTTCTGAGGCAGGTGGCAGCACCACTGAGCTAAATCCCCAGCCCTGTAAGTACATTAAAAAACAAAAAACTTAAGACAGGCTGGGGCTATAGCTCAGTAGTAGAGCACTTGTCTAGCCTGTGTAAGGCCCTAGGTGCTACCCCCATCACAAGGAGGGAAATGTTCAACATAACAAAGATGTAAATTAAAATAGCAGTAACACTTCATATCTACTCGGACGGCTAAAATAAAAAAAGCAGCTAAGAGCTAAGGGTATGGCTCGGTGGCAGACTGACTGCCTAGCACAGGTGGCATATGCCTACAAATCCAGACTCTGGGAAGCTGAGGCTGTGCATGGTGGCACACACCTGTAATCTCAGCACTCAGGAGGCTGGGGCAGGAGGATCACAGGGAGTTCAAGGCCAGCCTGAGCTACACATCAACACACTGTCAAAATACCAAAAAGAGGTGGGGGCTGAGGATGTAGCCCAGTGGGAAGGCCCTGGGTTCAACCCCAGGGCTATAAAGAAAAAAGGGAGAGTGCAACACTGACATCTGCTACAACAACGTGATGAAAACACGTGGCTAAGTCACAGAGACCACACAGTGCAGGGTCTGAATGCAGAGTGGGGACCCAAGCTGAGGCATGTGCTGGTGACTGCAAGTAGATCCCTTCTGGTGCTGAAATGGTCTCGCATTGGACTGCAGCTGTGGTCGCACAGCTGACAATATACTAAAAACCACTGAACTGTATGTACACTTTATTTATTTATTTATTTATTTAATTTGGTACTGGGGATCAGATGGGTCCTTTATAATTTTTTTTTTTGGTATGTACACTTTAGATTGATACATTTTTGGTATGTGAAGTATTATCTCAACATGATGGTTTTAATATCAGTTGGGCTGGAAATGTAGCTTGTGCAAGGTCCTGGCTTCCATGCCCAGCAGCGTAATAAATAAATAAACAAATAAATGGATATAAAAATAGCTGATGAGGAGGGTGGAGTAAGGCAGGAGGGGCAGCCCCCCCCCACCAGACCCATAGAAGTTGGGTCATCCTTGCCTGGTGTAGTGGCACAAACCTGTAATCCCAGCACTCAGGAGGCTGAGGCAGGAGGATAGCAGTAAGTTTGAGGCCAGCTTGGGCTATACACTGAGTTCAAGATCAGCCTGAACATCTATATCGCAAGACCCTGTCTCCAAAAAAAAGAAAAAGAAGTTGGCCATCCTGGATGCTCAGGGTCTCTAAGACCTAGGGGCCTGCTTCCCTGTGTGCCTGGCTCTGGACTCCGATGGCCTGTGGACACTGAGTGGGCCAGATGGGCCAGAGGAGGGAGACAGGTGTCCCCAGAAGCCACTCCAAAAATTGTCTGCGGGAGCCTCTGCCCCACTGCCCTCCTCTGCACTGTCTTTACCCTCTTTTCAGAGCTCAGTCTTGAAGGAAAAAGGAGACTGTCAAAGCCCAGGGGACCAGGGCTGCTCCCCCATGGGCTGGCCACAGCTGGCTGGGTGAGGATGTGGCCAGCATGGACAGAAGGGCCTACTCAGGGGAGAGCAGCCTCCTGCCTCCCCAGTTCTAGTGGGAAATGTCCCTTCCTCACCTGGGACAGTGACCCACAATGGGGAGAACAGGGCAAGCACTAGACTATGCAGAGAGCCCCACAACCCCCTTCCCAGGGGAAGTAAGGAAATGCCAGCTGGAAAGTTCCTGAACTCCCAGGCAAGCTTGTTTTATCTCCTCAGCCACAGCAGGGCCTGCCCAGATGGACTGCTATTTCCGGATGGCACTGGCCCTGCTGTGGTCCTTCCATGCCCTCTGCACACACAGGCAGCTGGCCTGGGAGACGGGGGTGTCCTAAGTGCAGGACTCCCAGCAAAGATCAGGGTCCTCCCGTGGAACCCCAAGGCCAGCCTCCTTCTTCTTGTCTCCAAGGACAGTCCAGCAGGGCAGAAGTCTCCCCAGCCCCCAATGGTTCCAGGTCTGACTTAGTCTCCTGTGTCGGTAACATCTGGCTGAGGCTGAGGCTGCGGGTGGGGTGTGCCTTCTGCTGGGCCGAGGCACAGACACCGGTGGCCTATAATGATCACAGGACCAGAGATCCTGAGCAATAGGGACCTGGGTCTACCACCCCCACGTGCCACATGTGCTTCTCCTCTGCTCCCTGGCCTTGAGCCCCTGCCGCCCTAACCCCAAACAGGCGCCTAGTGCAAAGGTGTAGCCTCAGCTAATTCCGCCTGCAGAAACACATCTGAACCCAGAGAAGCATCCTTGACAGTCACGCGTACAAGAGGCCTGCGTGTTCCCAGCTGGAGCAGAGCCCCTCCCAGCAGACAGGGCCAGTAGGCCTTTGACTTGCAACATGAACTCACTGCCACCATCTGTAAAAAGGGACACTTTCTGCTTTGTGGAGACAAAAATGGGAAAACAGGAAGGTGGCAGTAATGCTACTTGAAGAAGGTCTTTCCTTTCTCCTTGGCTTTTGAGGAGTGGAGACCCAACCATGACTCCTGGCCTGTGTCCTGGCCCAGGGCTTCAGTCACCTGAAGCTGGTCTGGACACATGCATACATGGGAGAAATGCTACCACTGTCAATGTTTCACAGCTGCAAAATGTCAGAGCCAGCACAAGAATTAAAGTGAAAAACAGTGAGGAGTTTTTGGACTTTGCAATGGTGCAAAAGCATATTATACACCCATCCTGACTCTCACTCTTGGTACCACATTTAGTAAATTATGTGAGATATCCAATGTTTTATCCTGAAATAGGCTTTGTATTGGGTGATTTTGCCCAATGGCAGGGCAATGTGTGTTCTGAGCACACAGGGGGCAGGGGTAACTAAGCTAGGATGCTGGGTAGGTTAGGTGTATTAAAAGTCTTTTCAATATTTTTCAACTTGGGATGGGTTTATCAGGACATCTTCCAATTGTAAGATGAGAAGCATCTGTTTATGCAAATTAAACCAAAATTTTTTGTGTTTTGGGTTTTTGTTTTGTTTTGTTTTTGATACTGGGGATTGAACTCAAGACCTTGTACTTGTGAGGCAGGTCAGCACCACTGAGCTTAATCTCTGACCCTTTTTTTTTTGGTTTTTTTGAGACAGAGTCGCACTATATAGTTCAGGCTGTCCTTGAACTCACTGTGTAGCCTAGGCGGGACTCGAACTCACGGCAACTGCCTCAGCCTCCTGAGTGCTAGGATCACAGGTGTGCGCTACCATGCCTGACCTAAACCAAAGAATTAAACCATCTTTGCATCTAAACATGAAGAAAGAGATGCCTGATGACAGAAACACAGGAATTTTCTTGCTGGTCTCAGATAAAACCTCATGGCAAGCTGGAGCCTCCCCACCTCTCCACCCACAGTGAATCTGGAACTCCAAAGACAGCCTGCATCCACCCACCAGGCTGCAGCACTACTCACTTTCCTTCCTCTGAACAAAGAAGGTTTAGCAAGCAAACGAGAGAACCAAACCTAAGGCAGACACAGGCCCGTGCAGGAGCAGCCAGGAGCACAGCTAGCAGCTGACAACTGCACATGGGGAGCCCATCCAGACCAGGCGGAAGCTTTGCACAAGGCTACATGGTTTTGTTTGTTTGTTTTGCTTTGTTTTTTGGTTTCTTGAGAGACTTACTATATAGCTCACTATATAGCTTATGCTGTCCTTGAACTCAGTATGTAGCCCAGGCTGGCCTTGAACTCAACCGTTCTCCTGCCTCAGCCTCCCAAGTACTGGGATTACAGGTGAGCGCTACCACACCTGGCTTTGAAGAAAGCTATATGGTGATCTTGACCCCAAGCCAGACTGAGCCCTAGACCCGGAAACAGGCATTTTTCCCTGGTGGTGACCGTCTCATTTCTGTGGAGCCCACCCTGAAGCCACAACTGCCCCTAAAGCCACCCACATTCTGAGAATGCAGTGTAGTGCAATGGGCAGAACTGGGGCTGCATAAGGCTGAACAGCTTTACAGTTACTCTTCATGTCTAAAAGCACCAACCCTCTCTGAAGTTTCATCTATGATCCACACACAATCTTTTCCTCCCTCAAACTCCCTCCACAGTATCGGAGACTGTCCATTTGCAACACCAAGTGGGGGAGGGCAGCTTTAAAACAAGCCACTCCTCCCCCCATCTCTGTCTCTGTCTCTTTTCCTCTCTCTGACCGTGCCCACTTCCATTGCTAGGGATAGAACCCAGGGCCTTGAACATGTGAGGCTACTGCTGTACACTGAGCTCCATCCCCACCCCTTCCTCCCCTTCTTAGCTTTGGCTTCTTTCACAGAAAAAATCATGGGTATAAGCATCCACAAAGCCAGCCAAGAATTCAGTCTTCAAGGCACAGTGTCTCCAGAAACAGCTGCTTTGTAGTTCACTCAAATGAGCATGTTGGTCTCCAAGTGAAACATCCCCATTTGGGCAAAGAGAAGAGGAAGAAGAGGTGACTGAAAGACTGACTCGGGTGGAGGGGCTGTGGGTGCCAGGGTGGTTTTTGGGGAAAGTCCCACTAAGAGGATCCTTGGCACAGCCTCTTCTGTGTAGACGCACCGTGCAGCTGCATTGTGACTGGGTGCCCTGACTCCCTCCCAGGGATAACAATGCAGGCAGAGTCCACAGAAAGGCAATGGTGGCTGTGCTAGGGCTCTGGCAGAGCACCTGCCTAGTGCAAGCCAGAACCTAGGTTCCATCCCCAGCACCAAAAGGAAAGCCATGGTCATAGTCATTTATGCTCCTCACCACAGCGGTCTGCAGATGCGAAGTGGGGGGTGTGGAGGTAAACAGGCTGCACTTGGGAACTGGAGCAGCCAGAGGCTTAGGAATGCAGGCAGCATGGTGCAATGGTTAGACCTGAATCCCCAGATCGGGACCCTGGGCAAATTACTTAACTCTCCTTGTCTCAGCTTCCCAGCTGAACCATGGGGATGCTAGTTTCTGACCTAGTTTCTACTCACTGTGATGTCCAAAAGAGCTAGTTAATACATACAGAGCAGACCTGTAGTCCCAGCACTCAGAAGGCTGGCAGCAGGAAGATCCCTTGAGCATGAGAGTTTGGGACCAGCCTGGAAAACAGCAAGATTCTGCCTCAACAACAACAACAAAAATAAATAAAATAAAATAAAACAAAGCAATACATTATACATCCATTCTCCAGGCAGGCAGGAAGCTCAGTATGTTACAGTTGATCATCACCCTCTTCCTCTTCAGCCTCATTTAGCCATCTTCTTTAGACCTGTGCATGGCTTTGGGCAAGGACACAGAGGGCTCTGGGGATGGCCACCCAGACTGGCATGGGGGCACTGCAGGCCCAGCCTGCTCTCTGAAGCTGTGAGCATCCCAGGCAAGGATTCAAGCTTCCCCTACTCCCAGCATTCCCTGCACTGCCCCGACTCCCCATCTTCTCTCTCTGGCAAACACCCTTCAGAGCCCCCAACAGCCTGGCCTTTTCTGACAGTCTTGTCCAGTCTCTTCAGACCAACTAATAGCAACATGCCAGGTCCCTGCAGCTCTCTGCACCAATGATAGGGCTTGCAAATCCTATCACAGTAGCCAGTCCACACCTCCATTCCCACACAACAGTACCCTGTGCTCCAGAGCTGGTGCACAGCCAGTGAGAGGCCCACTTTCTGCCCCAGCTGTTTAGTGTCAGACCTTCCCTGGGCAGGAGGGTCAGCACAGGAGAGGACACACACTGGCTGCAGGTGAACACTGCGCCCCCTCCTTTTCCCAGCAAACCCTCACTAGAGCTCTGCCCACTGAACTTCTGAAGCCAGGACTCGTCCACTTCCCCCCAGCTTCCAATCAGCCCCAGTCACCGCTGACTCAGGGAATGCCCCACGACAGTGCAGCCCAGACCCAGGAGAGTCCTGAGACTCAGAGCCTGCCTTGGGACCACACTGGTCCTTCCCTCCAGGAAGCCCGGATCAGGAGGGGCAAAGGCAGTCACGGGGAGGGGGTGTTCTCTGCCCGCTCTCCCCACTCGCCTGGCCGATGAGGCCGAAAGGGGCCCTCCTGAGGCCTCTTATGCTGCTGTCCCCTCACTGCGGCCACCGCGGGTCCAACCTGGCCCCTCCCGGCAGCTTGCATATTCATGTTTGTTGAATGAGTGAATGAATTAGTTAAAGCGCCCGTGCTCACTTAGCCACGGGGTGGATGAGGGTTTCAGGGCGCTTCCTGAGTCCCATTGGGTCAGTCACGACTCAATAAGATTTCTATCAGCCTCGAATACATAATTTCAGCTGTCGCCGCCACGTACCGCACACGTCCAGCCGACTCCGAGGACGCGGCAGGTGGAGGCGCCCGGGCAGCGGCCA